TCAAGTGACATGTCCGGAATTCACATCGGACCAACTTTTTGTTGATTGAACCATATATCCCATAAACCCTGATGTAAGAAAAGGCACTCTTGAGAGGTCTCTGCCTCCCGTGAGAGCTTGTCAAATCCGAGCTCGTTTAACGTCCACCGGCCATTCATCATCACATGCCGCAGATAGTTGCCACCGGTGCTTTTGGTCAGCGAATCGGAAATCATATTCCTTCCGTCAATCCACCTAACGGTTCCGCCCTTTGACAACTCGTGTTTCACGATAGAAATGTCAATAGCAGTTCGCTTGTCGTCAATCTGGCTGTAGGGGCAGGTTTGTTTTGAAAGGGCATCGAAGAGGGATTTGGAGTCTGTCACCGCGAGGTACGGCACCTTGGTAAGAGCGCCTTCCCAGTCCGAATTCTCGCAGCTTTCCCCGCTAGCCTCCATCAACAGAAACCTGTGCCAATGAACATTGCCAATGCCATTCACCAGGGCCTGACATTCAGCGGAAAGTGTGTTCACAACTTTTCTCTTCAGACGGTAGCTCTTCCAGCTGGTGATGGAAATCCTTGCAGAGGGCTCGAACTGAAGATCCTGATCATGAAATATAATCAGGTGCCCGCCCTGACTCTGAGTCCGCTTGTTCTGAAGAAAACCCTCTGAAATCTCTTGATGTCGCAACCCAGTTTGATACTTTGTAAAGATGCTCTGTCCAACCCAGGCTTCCCCGGGAACCATACCCAGCTTGGGTGTGTTCCAGGGATCGTCTTGTTCACGCTCCTGTCCGTCCTGACGAATCAATGTCCGCCGGTTGGGCTTGATCGCATGCAGATCAGGTCCTGAATCAGTCATGCCAGGATGAAACAGGGTCTTCCTGGGGCAGACGTGGTGACGAACCCAATGATCCGGGGTCTTCGTCCAGAAGTCCTTGCTACTCTCATGTATCTCTCCATCGGCCGCATTGCCCCATGATGCATCGGTAACAGCGCTTACCCTCAACCGTTCTATGGGGATAGGGCTAATCTTGATGCCAACATCATGTTTCTCGGCTTCAGACGCCAGTTGATTTGCACTGATAATGTCTTTAACCCGGGGCCTCGGGAACTGTTGTTGGAGAAGTGATACCCGGCCACTAAGGTCGGGCCTGGTTTCCTTGGCGAGCCAGGAGAGGGCCCCGATGAGAGACCTCATCTGACTTATCTCATCTTCTGTGCAATGAGAGTACCGCTGGGCCTTTCGAGCCTTTGTAAGAGTAATCCGCTGGACCTTCTCAGTGACGTAGTGCTCAGTCACTATGCTGCCGTCCGGTTGCGGTGTGAACTGCTTGCCGGTAAATCGCCCTGATCCGTACTGAAACTTACCCAACTTGTACTTACGATTCAACACTTCCATGCGTCGCTGGTGTTCATCATCACCGCCATGCAGCAAATCATCAGTAGCAACAGACACGACACCAATCAACTTGTCCCAACCCTTCTTCTTGAAGTCATGAAGAAAATAAATGCAGGGGTCAGCCAGGCTTTGGGTGTAGCCTAACTCCTCTAAGAGAGCCCTACGAAGGTGCCTGAACCACGCCATGGGACCGTCCAGAAGACCATAACAAGTCTTGATCAGCTTTAACAACTCACCTTTCCCCATTCCTGGAATGCCCTCGGGAGGCTGCTCAGCATACAGTTCTCGATCGATAGGATCTCCAGAATGAAAGGCTTGAATAAAATCAAGAAACCCGAGTTTCCACCTTTTGCTCGCAATCAGCTGCGTCACGAACATGACTCCTTCACGGGTCACCTGTGGTGTGGCCGAGTCTAGTTCCTCAGCCCCGTCTTCAGAAAAACCTTTCATGACATGTCTTACTTTCGCCTTGCATGGTCCTCCATGTGCCTCGGAGAGGATGGTGCCGTCCATGGTCGCCTTGTCGATGTCGCTTGGCTCCAGTGGTTTCGCCGTCCGTACGAACCGCGACTCCATGATTCGATCCGGCTTGGTCCGCCGGATGTACGCACTGGTCTCGGCGTCAAGCTTCTCGTAGGCCTGCGTCTCCAGGTTGTTGTTCACCTCCTTTTCGGCCGCCAGCAGGAAGCTCTGTAGGTCCCGGGCATTGAGGTCCTTCAACTTGACCTCCTTCCTTTGCCGTGTCTTGAAGAGCGTCTCCAGCTTCGCGTAGTAGGTCTCGAGGAGGTGTACCCTGGTACGCTTCGTCGGTGGTTCCACGGCCTCGTCCTCGTCATCTTCCGCAATAGGGGCCGGCAGGTGATCAGCCGACAGTTGTCTCTCGTCCAAGTCCATGGGTTCCAGGTTCACGTCCTCGTCCGCTGCGTTCCTCGGTGCCGGGAAAACAGTCGGTACCTGATCCTCCTCGCCTTGTAGGAGCCGGTGAGGGTCCGTCTTGCCGCGCATTCGTCTTCGCACGGGCTCGTTGTCCTCCTGGTCCGGGGTCCTCGTTGTCGGGCTCGTCGGGGATATAGTCCTCCTGGTCCTCCTCGGCGACGGGAAGGGGCTCGTCGCTGAGGTCGATGTAGCTTCGCCTCGGCTGCTTCTCGAACTCCTCCTTGACACTGGTGAGCCCATCCAGCCATCCGGAGATGGTGAGGGACTCTTCTTCGGTATCCGTTCTGGTGCGGCCTTCACAAGGTTGCCCTGGTAGCTCAACCAGATCGTCGACGGGTAGTCCGTCATGACCACCCTTGCCGGTCCATGCCACCGTTGGTGTGGCCGGTCCCCTTTCTTGGAATGACCCAGGCGATAGAAGTAGACCATCTGGCCGACCTGGTAATCGTAATGTGGTCTGGGTCCTCCAGCCAGAACATTCTTGAGGGCCTGGTCACAATCAATCTCAAAGAAGGCCTTCGCCGCGGCCTTTCTCATGTCCATAGATCGCTGGATCCCGGCGTCTCCTAGCCGGGGTTGTGCTCCCGCCTCGGCATCATCTTGTCCTCCGGAATGAAGTCCTCCCGGAAGCCTTGGTAGAAAACCCAAGACTCGCTGAACTGGAGAGACGCCTCCCCGGGAGGCGAGCCTGTTCTTCATCATCATGGTCGTGTCCACGAGTTCAGCCCATTCGGAGTAGGTCCCGCAGTTGTAGTCCGCCATGGTCTTCTCGAGCATGATCTTGTAGGTCTTGCCATGACGTTCGGCAAGCCCCCGCGTCGGAGCTTCCAAACTACTCGGATCCATCCGGGTGCCTTCCTGCGCCGTACGGACCCTAAAGGAACCCTTGAACTCGCTTCCCTGGTCTGCCCAAATTTGTTTAGCCGGGCCAAAGAACTTGACCCATTGTCGGTAGGCCGACCATGCTGCTTCGGGGCTGCGTCCTCGGAGAGGGATCATCATCTGGAAGTGGCTGGCATAGTCGATGATGTTGAGTGCGACCTTCTTCTTCTTCTGCCCCACCGTCGGCAGCCAGACCGTGTCCATGCCGATGATTTCATTAATGCCAAGTTCCCTGGGAGGAGCTGCTCGTCGAGGTGGCTTGACTGTAAGGAACTTTTCACAGACGCTGCACTTGAGTTCTTTAGCTATCTTGATCACCTCGTCAGATGCCTTTGCTGCACGAAGTATTCGTAGAAACCGGTCTCGGTGTGGATGTCCTAGTCCATCGTGGGCCCGTCGAACCAGCTGTCTCAGTGTCCTAGCCCTCGAGCCTGGTAGATCGCGCTCTTCTAGTCCGACTCCTGCACCATGTTGATCATCGCCCTCGTCCTGTGGTACGCTAGAGATAGGTCCATCTCTGCCGTCTCCTTCCGCGGAATCGTGTTGAGGTCCTTGTCCTGCATCGTGTCCTCCGAGTAGAACCGGTTCTGGATGATCTCCCGGAGATAGTCCATCTCTGCCGTCTCCTTCCGTGGAATCATGTTGAGGTCCTCGTTCTGCATCATGTCCTGCCGGTGGATGAAGCCGCGCCCGAACATTCCTTCGGAATTCTTGCTCCAAGGCGTCCACAGGGTAGCCCACAACTTGAGCGAAACACTCGTGCCGTCGAGCTTGTTCTTCTCCTTGTTCCCCAAGATCATGGAGGAAGACTCGCCGCCATGGCACATGAAGAGCCTTGGCTACGAAACTTCGAATCTCGCCCACAACTTCGTCCACGGTGACCCGGGTCTCACGAGACCAGGTCTGAAGATGGCTAAGGGCCTCTGGCCACCCTGACATGACCTGCCAGTGTCCTTGAGGAGCGGCGTTTAGCACCGCACAAGAGGTTTTGCCTTGCTGAGGAAGAGAACAATACCTGACGCAAACATAGGGCTGTCCACTCCTATTGGCATGCTTCAGACACTGACCTAGAACTTGCTCAAATCTGTCATTGGCATCGATTTTATCCTGCTCACAAAGCACAACCAGCACATCAGACTTCAGATCAACGGCCTGTCGGTACATGTGAATCATCTGCCCTACGTCCTGTGGTACTCTCAAGATTGACATGTCAGCTCCTAGCACAGACAGATCACTCTCAGCGCAACCTAACTTTTTGCGATGAAATTCCAAAAACCCCTCGTCGTCCTCCGGTGCTGTCAAAAGAAGATCGAAGGTCGCTGTCCATTTGCGACTTGCCTTCCGGAGGGCACCTTTTAGGCGCGCCTGCTGCCTTTCATTTAGTAGCGCTCCTTCTTCCACTGGAGGTAGGCCTGGTACTCCGTCGCGTCGTGGGATTCCAGCTCGCTCTCCTTGTCCGTCTCCTCGGCAATCTCCACCGTCTTCTGTCGACTCTCGACGGAGAGCAGCTTGCTGCACATCCTGCAGCGCTCCCGCTTGTAGAACGCATTCGACCCCGTGCCCACCTTGGAGAAGTGGGGGCACGCATCCTGGAGGATCTTGACCAGCAGTTCGCGCGGGCTCAGATCCCGGGGGAAACCCTCGGCAACTCGTCGCCTGGTCTCCTCGAACTTGTCGTCCAGTAGCGGCTGAACGTCCGCCCATTGGAAGAAGCCGCACTGCTGGGTCGGCTCCTTGGCTCGGCAATTGTAGAAGACCCGGCTCGGGTTCTGGGTCGTTGCGCTCAGTTCCACCTTGCAGCCATGCCGGCAGTAGCATAGCGGATGGTTGGGCTCGAGGATGTGGTAGGCCTGCGTGAAGATCTCCTGCTGGGCGTGCTTGTCCGTGACGATGGCGTGGAGCTCCGCGTTGATCTTGATCGCCGTGCTGTCGGCCGTCTGGCCTGACTTCATGCTCACGTCCTTGCTCTGGGGCGTTGTCGTACCGCTGCGCCGTGTCGGTCACCGGTTGTGGTGGCGGAGGTTCTCGTGGTTGGCTCGCCGGTGATGGTGTCGACAATCGTCTCCCCCGACTGCCGGTGCGGCAGTTGAAGTGTGTGTATCCCGAATCGAAGGTGTACCGGGACGCCTCCGACATCTTGTCCGGCTCGTTCTTCACCAGCACGTAGCTGTCCGGTCGGCTGCCGCTGGCTGCCGACGACTTCTTGCTCTTCTTCCACTCCCGGAACTTCATGAAGAGGTCGTACTCCTGGTCCTTGTGTTCCATCAGGATCTGGTCCACGTCCTTCCGGAGGGACACCAGCTCCTCCGGGTTGATGTCCTTCAGGTGCGCCTTCACGTGGTTGAGGGAGGCCTCCACGGAGTTGCTGAAGACCTGGACGGCCAGTCGTGCCACTGGCCTGAGAAACATCGCCACCTTCAGCACCAATCGCTGCCAGGCGATGTAGATCACGTGCGCCCTCTCCTGGTTCGGCTGCTCCCGCGCGCGCTTGTTCGTCGGAGACGAGCAGTCCATGGCGAGCAGGGCTACCTGGAAGGTTCGGAGGGGGCTTTAGGTCACCGGTAGTTACCTCAGCTTCGGGCAGGCTGGCGGACAGATTCAAAACTTCAAACTCTCCATGCTTTCCTCCATCCAGACGATGACGTGACTGCGTCAGTGCATGTAACATGTCTCGGCTGAACTGGTTTAGTGCAACCCTCAGCGCTCCAGAAGGCCCAACATGAAGTGGAATCTGCGCCCCATGACGTGTCAGATGCAGCATGAGGTGACCCCGCCTCAGGCTGATGACCGCTTCGCTCTGCATCAAGAACTTCAACGATAAAAGAAACGGGGCGTTTCGGCTGTGGTGGCCTTCGAAGACAGCTGGCTTAAGATAGCATCCTCGTTTGCCTAGGCTGCAAGGAATCACGGCGTTGTAATTCGTCTGAGAGACCCCATGAACAGACCTGAACTTGTTCTGTTCTTTCTGTTGGTACCAGGGCAATTCGGGAGGCCACAACGGTTTCATTTTGTTCAGGGTCGCTATTCCTACCGCTGTCCGCTGGCATCCGGTGTCAAGAGTGGCACAAGCATCATCTTCATACCTACCACCATCACTATACAGAACATCATACACCCGGTCAGGCATGTAATCGAGCTCGGAATCTCGGATGTGCATGTCAAAACTCTCACGGCCTTTGCCGTAGCCACTTGGCTCTACGCTCTGCGACAAAATGTCGTGCTCGGCTGAGGACTCTTCGAGGAAATCGTCTGCTGGTCCGGCCTCCAAGTGATGACAAAAGAGAGCATCGTCATAGTGCTCGAGGTCGATCTCCAGGAGGTGGGTCTCCTTCGGGTCCCTTGTGTGTCCAGGGGCCGGTGGATTGGTGCATTCTTTATGCCAATGTCCCACCTTGTTGCATCGCTTGCAGCGTGTTCGCTGCTTCAGCTCGGCAATGGACAACTTGTAGGTGCCCGGTCGGATCGGCCCGGAGCGGTCGTGATGACCAAACTGTCGTCCACCTTGGCGGTAGCCTCTTCCCAATTCTTTGTCCTTCTTAATCTGTGCCGATTGGGTATAGGTCTTCTTCTTCTCCTTGATCATCATGGCCAAGATCTCGGCCGCTTCCTCCTCTTCAAAGACTCCCGGGTCCGCCCCGGTGTCTTCCTCGTCGGCGAGATCGGCGAGCATGGCCTCCATGGTCTCGAGCTCTTCCTCGCCCTCGGAGAGTTCCGCGGACCCATCCGCAGTGTGCTCCACCGAGTGCACGGCGGCCGTGCTTGATTTCCCCTTGGCGGTAGTCTCATTGCCCAACTGTCCGGCCTGGAGCTTCGTCTCGTGCTTCCTCAGCCAGGTCTTGATGTCCTTCGGCTCGATCGACCCATGGGTGAAGGTCAAAAGCATTTTGATCTCCCCATCTGTGAGGCCCAGGGCATTGATCATCAAGAAACCCCGGTACAAGGAAGGCAGGGCCACCTTGTGTTCCTGTACCTTCCGCTCGGCTGCCTCCCAACGGCCAAGAAACTGACGGGCCGTCTCGTTCTTCTGCCGCTTCAGGTGGTAGGTCACTCGAGCCAAAGAAGCGAGGAGGTGCTCCTCCTGATCATCTCCATAGTACTCAGGCGAGTCCATCTTCTTCAGAAGCGTCTCGGCATTTCCCTGGTCAGCAAGCCATGCAGGATCCTTCGCCAAATGCTTAAAATCCTGGAAGGGCGTCTCGCTCAGGGCTTTCAAGAGCAAAGGCCCGCGTGTCCTAGCCCGAGCTTTCGTCGTGCTGATCCAGATTCGCGCCCTGATCAGGTAGTCCTCGAAAGGACACTGAACCCCGTCCCAGGAGGGTGGGGGGCCAGCATTGGTCCAGAAGTCGTCCGGTCCGTCCTCCTCGTCCTCATCTTCCCGCCTTGTCGTCCTCGTCCGCGGTCGACGTTCGTAACGTCCTCCTCCGCGGTCACGTTGTCGAAGCCACCGTCGGAAATCCTCATATTCATCCCGGTAGGCTTCGGCCTCGGCTTCCTCGGAACCTAAGCCTTCCTCATCATCTGGCACCGGTGGCAGATCATCTGTACCCTGCCATTCTTGCGCCATCAAAACCGATGCACTGTCCCTACAGTGCCACTCGCTCGCAATCCGAGACTTCACTCAACCGCTAAACACCCACCTAGGCGCCTGGCCGTACCCAGGCGCTCCGCTACCACTGTAATCGGCTAAGAACCCAAACCGCAAGAACCAGAGAGAAGTCTCGGAAAGAAAGTGGCGCTTTTGCAAGCGCATCCCCTTGGCTTCTGGTTCCTAAGTGCACGCGGGCCTTGAGTTCAAGGCATCAGTGAAAACAGTTGGTTCAATCAAGTGACATGTCCGGAATTCACATAGGGTTTTGGGCTTGAGGGGTTCAGGTCTTTGATTTAGGGCTTAGGGGTTCAAGCTTAGGGTGTAGGGTTTAGGGGTTCGGGTTCACCATGTACATGTAGGGTGTAGGGTTTTAGGGGTGAGGGTTTAGGGGTTAGCGTTTGGGGTTTAGGGGTTAGGGTTTAGGGTTTAGCATTTAGGGGTTTAGGGTTTAGCATTTAGGGTCTGGCTTAGCCCTGAAGCCAGAAATCCTGAACCCAAGAGCCCTCAGCCACTCCTCCGTGGCCACATTGCTGAAGAAGGTAGACCGCATCTTCGGAAGTCCCAGTAGCGTGCCGTCCTGGGCTTTGGGTGGCTTCAAGGCTGCAGGCTTGAAGCACGAGTTTAAGGGAGTGTAGAGTTTAGGGTTTCAAAAGTCAGAGGGGCTACAGCTTGGGATGTCGAGTCGGGTTTCAGGGTTTAGCGAAGTGCAGTGCTTGAGGAGCCCGTGCTATCAAATGCCGGATTTAGGACCTTTGGGGTCTAAGGGTTTAGGGTTTAGGATTTATGGGTTTGGGGTTTAGGGCTTAGGGTTTAGGGTTTAGGGTGTAGGGTTTAGGGGTTTAGGGTTTAGGGTTTAGGGTTTAGGGCTTAGGGTCAAGGGCTTTGATTCGGAGGAGGCGGAGGAGTAGTAGCAGCAGTAGTAGTACCACTGATCACGCCTTGAGCCTCCAACCCTAAATCCAATAACCAAGTCAGGCCATAACCCCCATAGTTCCGGGTCCGTAAGGTAATGCAGGCTTTATATCCTCACAACGGTGGTTAGGGAATCTTATAATGACATTCTTTTTGACTGGGGAGCGCCAGGCGCTTCGGATGCGAGTGGGTCCTTCATGCGCAGCCTAGAGTCTTGGTGCGTATGTTAGCGGATTGCCATAGACTATAGGGGATAGGGCTATTGTTACTATTATTACTAATTGCTCAGACCTCTATACCGTTACTTCTTCTCCAGAGCTCTATACCGCAAAACCCGAAACCCTATTCCTCAAACCCTCTACAAACACCCCAAACCTTAAACCCTAAACCCTAAACCCTAAACCTTAAACCTTAAACCCTAAACCCGTACAACCCCTAAACCCCTAAAACCCTAAACCCTAAACCCTATCCCAAAAACCCTAAAACCCTAAACCCTAAACCCTAAAACCCCTAAACTCCTAAAAACCCTAAACCCCCAACTCCAAGACACCCAGATCCTTTGGGGCTCTCTGGGAGGATTTCTGGAAGCGCCGAGAGTCCCCGAGGGTGGTGGAGCCCTGGGACAGGGGCCTTGGTCGAATGCTTCGCCGGGTTTAGGGCTTAGGTTTCGGACTTAGGGTTTTTGTTTTAAGGTTTAGGGTTTATATAGGGTTTAGGGTTTAGGGCTTAGGGTTTAGGGTTTAGAGTTTAGGGCTTAGGGTTTAGGGTTTAGGGCTTAGGGCTTAGGCTTTAGGGTTTACGGCTTAGGGTTTAAGCTTTAGGGCTTTGGCTTTAGGGTTGGATGCTTACAGCTTGTTCTTGATGGCGTTGCGGCTTAAGCCTTTGGGGCTTTGGGGCTTGAAGCCGCAGTGCTTTTGGGAGCCTATGGCACCTTCGGGTTTTCGCATGCGTGATGACCATGGGGCGTGTAAGGCTTTGCTTGCGCTAGGCTTGTGGTTCGATGATTCGGGCGGCCGGTTGAACTGCAAGACACTCTGTGTCGTAGTGTGGATTCTGTGGTCGCTGTTTCCGTTTATCCTTTCGGAGTCGTCCTGAAAAACGAAGTTGGGCATCATCAGGACATCCGGCAGACGGGCCACACAGTTCAGGTTACGGTGTCGGATTTTCGCAAAGAGGGCAGAGGTCCGGCAAATTTGGGCCCAGACGCGCTCCGGACTAGAGCACAAAGCGAAAACTTATTCGCTGAAGAGTCTAGGCTCTAGAGAGTCAGAGGTAATATAGGGAACTTGATACTTAGAATGGGGCTTGGGTCGAAAATTTGCTTGTAAAGTATCACCGCAATGGAAGAACCCTAAGGGACAATATTGCTGATCATTCAAGCTTCTGCATCGCACCCTAAACCCCAAACCCCAAAGCCCCAACCCCCCAAACCCTAAGCGTTCCCTGTCAGCTTAACAGCTTAACCCGGATCAAAAATTGGACCCTCGAGTGCTCGTGTGCCCAAAGGGATCGGGGCCATGTTCTGCAGCAAAGCAACACCGTTCTTTTGTGTGTGTGCCTGCTCTAAACCATCCGGTGCCTGCTTTAAACCATCCAGGGTCCCTCTGTGCCCAAGGCATCGGGGCCACATTCTGCAGCAAAACAGCGCTGTTCTTTGTGCGTGCCTGCTCTAAACCCTCTGGGTCCTTGTCCCTGCCCTCTTGCGATGCGGAAAATAGGGGGTGATTTTTGCTGTTAAAACCCTAGTTATAGAAAGTGCACTTGTTATTGGGCCGGGTGCCCATGTCAGTCGAGGTCCTTGAGGCCGTTAAGTAGCTTGTAATAGCCGCTAAACTCTACTGACTAACCATAAAAGTTGAAACATGTTGGGCTTATTTCTTGTACGCACAAGAACTTGAGCTTTTTGCAAAAAGCTTTGGGTGGCTTCTCGGGGTGGGTAATTTAGAGCTCCACGTTCGTGACGGCACACTCTTACTCTGCAGATCTCGGACGTACGTCGCAAAACTTCGGTCAAAAACCTAGACACCTACCGCGGACTTTTGGTCGACAAACGTTAAATCCCCAAACCCGAACCCCTTAACCCCTGAACCCTACACCCCTGAAAGGCATCCCTTAAAAGACCCCTTAAAAGATCTCTTAAGGGTTCTTTTAAGGGTTCATTTCCCTTGCATGGTTCTGTAATAGACCCTAAACCCTAAACTGCAAGGAACCTTTAAAAGAACCCTGGGGTCCCTTGAAGAAACCCCTAAGGGATTCCTGCAAGGAACCGGTCCTTCTGGGATCCCTTGAGAAGATCCCTTAAAGGATCGTAGAGTTTAGGGTTTAAGGGTTTAGGGTTTTAGGGTTTTAGGGTTTAGTGGTTTAGGGGTTAGGGTTCCCTTCATGGTTCCCTGCACTGAATATAAAGACTCCCATATCATAGAACCATTCGAGTCGCCCGACGCTTGTACGATACATTAAAGGATCCCTGGGGACCCTAAACCCTAAACTCTAAACCCGAAACCCGGAACCCTAGACCCTAAATCCTGAACCCTAAACCCTAAACCCTAAAACCCTAAATCCTAAACCCTAAAACCCTGAACCCTAAACCCTCAATCCTAAACCCCGAACCCTAAACCCTAAACCCTAAACTGCAAGGAACCTTTAAAAGAACCCTGCTAATCCCCGCAGCCCAGCTGCAAGGATTTCATTTCCGACTTGAGCTCGGACAGCAGCTGCGCTTGCTTCGCGAACCTGGGGCTTGGGAGATCAGGTTTAGGGTTTAGGGTTTCAGGGTTTAGGGTTTAGGGTTTAGGGTTCAGGGTTTAGGGTTTAGGGTTTAGGGTTCGGGGTTTAGGTTTCAGGGTTTAGGCGTTTAGTTTGGGGGTTTAGGGGTTTGGGGCGTTTGTTTAAAATGATAGGGTTAAGGCAGTGCAGCTTGGGGTTCTGGGCTTCCGGAGTTTTACCTCTGGGTTTAGGGTTTAGGTTTCGGCTTAGGAATTAAGGCTCAGGGTAAGTTTTAAGTTTAGAGTTGCTTCTAGACTTGCCGGAAACTGACAGCTGGGTTTCATGGCAGTTTCAGGTTCAAGACAGAAGTCGAGGGGTTCCTAAACCCCTAAACCCCTAAACCCCTAAACCCCTAAACCCCTAAACCCCTAAACCCTAAACCCTAAACCCCAAGGGGCTCCTAGACCCGTACTCATCCTAGAGCTTACGACAACCTTAATAACGGCCGCAAAGCCTTGACGGCAGCATTAAGGGCTCTACCCAGGCAGCCCAATACCCCTGTAATAAGGCATGTAGCTTGGGGTTTAGAGTTTAGGGTTTAGAGTTTAGGGTGCTTAAATCTTAGTATGAAGCCCCTTATATTTTCAGCTATATCCCTCAATTAAGCTGTATTTGGCTCTCAGTGTAAAAACTGGAATAGGGCGCGTCACGGTATACTGGCTGTAAAAATGACTCTGAGGAGATACTACGAAATCTTCCACCCAACACCCTAAACCCTAAAACCCTAAACCCTAAACACTAAAACCCTAAACCCTAAAGCCCCAAAACCTACACCCTAAAACCGGAAACCCTAAACCCCAAAACCCTAAACCCTTAACCCGAACCCTGTTTTGCTCTGGAAGGGGGGGGGCAGGGTTCAGGTTTTGGCTTGGGGCATAGGACGATTCAAGAAAGGCAGGCGTCGGGCTCAAACCCAGGGTTTAGCGGATAGCGTTTAGGGCTTAGGGTTTAGGCTTTAGCATTTAGGGTTTAGGGTTTAGGGCTTCAACCCCCTCAATCCTCAACCCGAAACCTCGGAACTCAGGTGTACCGCTCTTACTGGCTCAACGCCGTAAGACCTACACTTCCCTAAGCTCCCTAAATTACACGTTAACTCTTAACTCTCACCTTAACTCCCGAAAGCCTAAACCCTCATTCCCGAACCCCGAACTAAACCGGCTTAGTGTTTAAGTCTTTCTGTTGATGTAATATCGATCCTGCGTTACCTTAAGGACCCTAAACTACGGGAATTCGGGCACATTCCTTATTGTGGGCAACCTAAACCCGAAACCCGAAACCCTAAACCCGAAAGTCCTTAT